CTTCCCTGTGAGGGTGGTGAGGCCCTGGCACAGGTTGCCCAGAGAAGCTGTGGCTGCCCCATCCCTGGAAGTGTCCAAGGCCAGGTTGGACAGGGCCTGGGCTAGTGGAAGGTGTCCCTGCCCCATGGCAGGGAGTGGAACAAGATGAGCTTTAAGTTCCCTTCCAACCCAAACCATTTGAGGATTTCTGTGATTCCATGGTTCCATGGGGTGTCTCTGCTGCTGATGCTGAACACGTAGGAAAAGCCACAGTGACGGTTTCTGCCACAGTGACAGTTTCTCTCTCAGTGACAGACCTGGAAATCAAGTTTGAGTACCGAGGGAAGGAGACCGGACCCACGACGACCGTGAGCAACCCGCAGGGGTGCAGACTGTTCTACGGAGAGCTGGGCCCCATGCCAGACCAGGAGGAGCTCTTTGGGCCCATCAGTTTGGAGCAAGTGAAGTTCCCAGGAACGGAGCAAATCACCAACGAGAAGCAGAAGATCTTCACGAGTCGGCTGCTGGACGTTATGGACAGGGGGCTGATCCTGGAGGTCAGCGGCCACGCCATCTACGCCGTGCGGCTCTGCCAGTGCAAGGTCTACTGGTCCGGGCCCTGTGCGCCTTCCTCCACCACACCAAACCTGATTGAGAGGCAGAAGAAAGTCAAACTCTTCTGTCTGGAAACATTCCTGAGCGGTAGGTAACTGCTGCTTCTGGGAAACAGCTTTGGGTGCTGGTCTGGGCACTGTTGGAAAGGGTTGGTCTGGGGGCACTGTTTATTTTGCTTGTGTGTGGAGTGTGGGTTGGGGCCACCATTTTCCTGACTTCCATGGAGCAGATGTGTGGCATAATGCTCATTTAATGCTCATTTAATGCTCATTTAATGCTCTGAAAGACATTGGAGGGCCTTGCTTTTAGAAGAAAAGCTCTTTGGGTGCAAGAAAAAATATGTAATTGTGTATGTGTAAGAGGTGGCAAAGGACAGTGTGTAGGCAAGACCTGGGATGATACAGTGAGGTGGGGTGGGGTGTTTCTGACTGACAGAGGACAACCCTGCATCATTCTGCTTTTCTTCCTAGAGCTGATTGCCCATCAGAAAGGACAAATTGAGAAACAGCCACCCTATGAGATCTACTTCTGTTTTGGAGAAGAGTGGCCCGATGGAAAGCCCAGGGAGAGGAAGCTGATTGTGGTGCAGGTAGGAGCTGAGGCTCTGAGGTGACACGTACAGGGTGGTGTTTGGTCACAGGTTGGACTTGAGGATCTCAGAGGATGTCTTCCAGCCTAGTTGATTCTGTGTTTCTGTGCCAGCCTTGTTGGGTTTGGTGTGTTGTCTCTGGATCAGTGCCCAAGGATAGCAGAGACCTGTGGCTTCTGACACTGGGAAAACCCCAGTAGGGCTGGTGAGTTTGGGGAGAGCAAATACAAACATTACACGTGTTGGATAGAATCAGTCTGTGTGTGCTCTTTAGATTATTGTGGAAACCACCCCCAGCATCCAGAGCGGGGGATTCCTGCAAAATAACGGGGCTATTCTGTGTGCCACTGGCCTAAAACAAATGCCTTCCTCTCAAACAGGTCATCCCAGTCGTGGCCCGGATGATCTACGAGATGTTCTCGGGTGACTTCACGCGCTCCTTCGACAGCGGCAGCGTGAGGCTGCAGATCTCCACCCCCGACATCAAGGACAACATTGTGGCCCACCTGAAGCAGCTCTACAGGCTGCTGCAGAACCACCAGGAGGGGTGGCCCATGCAGGCCCCCCCCCTGCACATGGCACAGCCGCTCCCGGCGCAGTGACAGACCCCCGGCTTTGCCTCCTCCCCTGCCCCGGGGGTTTTCTTTCTGTTGTACATATAGAAAAGTGTTTCTTCACCAGTGCCTTGCCTACACCTGAATAAACAAAATCTGTAAATCTGGTCATCTCGATTCCATAATTTCGTAGGTGCTTTTGTTTTGGAAGCCCTCAAAGCAGAGGGGATTACAGGAATGCTTCTGACTCCTTCACCCTTTTCAGCTGTTTGCTTAAGCAACCCCTGTGTATAAATCAGATTTTCGATTCTGTAATATTTTTTTTTAATCTGCTATTGATACATTGTATATAAGCACTTGATCATTAGAGGGGGAAAAAGAAAATAATCTGCTCTATTAAAACTGCCTGGAGAATATCACCTTGTCTAGTTTTTTCTCTTTAACTGGGCTGTAGCAGCAAGCTGGGATGCTGATGCTTCTTCTACTGTGCTTTTTTTATAGGGGTGTATATACACAGGCACTGTAAATGCATATATCACAGAGTTTCTAGGGTTGGAAGGGACCTCTGGAGCTCATCTAGTCCAACCCTCCTGCCAGGGCAGGGTCACCTGGAGCAGGTGACACAGGAATTTGTCTTTAAAAAAAAAACCAGCTCTGCAAACTCAGAGAAGCCACCTGGAGAAGAGAAGACTCTGGGAAGAACTTAGAGCACCTTTCAGTACATAAAGGGGCTTCAACAGAACTGCAGATGGATTTTTTTGCAAGAGTATGGAGCGTTAGGACAAGGGGGAATGGTTTTAAACTAAAAGAGGGAAGATTCAGGTTGGATATTGGGAAGAAATTCTGGTTTCTGAGGACGGTGGCACAGGTTGCCCAGAGAAGCTGTGGCTGCCCCATCCCTAGAAGTGTCCAAGGCCAGGTTGGACAGGGCTTGGAGCAACTTGGTCTAGTGGGACATGTGAGGAGACGATGATACTTAAAATCCCTTCCAACCCAACCCACTCTGCGACTCTGTGAAGCTGTCACGTCACATCACAGCTCTGCGCGCTGGGCGCTGCCTCCGGCCGTGCCCCCATCCCTTCCCTCCCCGAGCTGTGAGCTTTCTCCCTATTTCTGCTTCCAAACAGCCTTTTCCTTATCCACGGCTCCGCCCGGGAAGGTCGCTCCGCCCGGGGCCGTGCTTGGTTAGACCCGCCCCGGGATCGGGGCCGTGCTTGGTTAGACCCGCCCCGGGATCGGGGCCGTGCTTGGTTAGACCCGCCCCGGGATCGGGGCCGTGCTTGGTTAGATCCGCCCCGGAACCGCGGGCCTTGCGGTGTCTCCAGGTCCATGGCCCTCGGGGGCAGCGCCTTGTCCCCTGCGCTGCTGGTGGCGGCGGCTCGGGATGCTCTGGGCTCTCGGGATGCTCTGGG